ATTTATCACATCTGTTCAACAGACCCCCATCCGGTATAATCCGCCTGGGGTGCCGTTGAGGGATTTGTGGGTTGCCTCTTCAAAGCTACCAAAGGACCCCATCCGGTTATGACAGGCCGAGGGATCTTTGAATGACCCTATTTTTTCCAAGGCTCCCCAATATACCCCCAACCGGTTTTAACCATCTGAGGACATTTGGGGGATTCTGAATTTTTTCAAAGAGCATTCAATACACCCCCATCCGGTTTTAACCGTCTAGGGGGCTTTGAGTTATTTGTAATTTTCTCAAAAGCATTCAATACACCCCCATCCGGTTTTAACCGTCTGGGGGCTTTTGAGTTATTTGTAATTTTCTCAAAAGCATTCAATAGACCCCCATCCGGTTTTAACCGTCTGGGGTGCTTTTGAGCCATTGTAATTTTTTCTCAAAAGCTCAGTACACCCCCATCCGGTTTTAACCGTCTGGGGGCTTTTGAGTTATTTGTAATTTTCTCAAAAGCATTCAATAGACCCCCATCTGGTTTTAACCGTCTGGGGGGCTTTTGAGTTATTTGTAATTTTCTCAAAAGCATTCAATACACCCCCATCCGGTTATAACCGTCTGGGGGGCTTTTGAGTTATTTGTAATTTTCTCAAAAGCATTCAATACACCCCCATCCGGTTTTAACCGTCTGGGGGGCTTTTGAGTTATTTGTAATTTTCTCAAAAGCATTCAATACACCCCCATCCGGTTTTAGCCGTCTGGGGGGCTTTTGAGTAAGTTTGACCAAAACGTTGACCAAACCGGATGGGTGTTTTGGTATTGACAAAAACGGATAAAGATTTTTTGGTAAGTTTGACCAAAAACGTTGACCAAACCGGATGGGGTGTTTTTGGGTAAGTTTGACCAAAAACGTTGACTAAACCGGATGGGGTGTTTTTGGGTAAGTTTGACCAAAAACGTTGACCAAACCGGATGGGGTGTTTTTGGGTAAGTTTGACCAAAAACGTTGACTAAACCGGATGGGGTGTTTTTGGGTAAGTTTGACCAAAAACGTTGACTAAACCGGATGGGGTGTTTTTGGGTGAGTTTGACCAAAAACGTTGACTAAACCGGATGGGGTGTTTTTGGGTGAGTTTGACCAAAAACGTTGACTAAACCGGATGGGGTGTTTTTGGTGAGTTTGACCAAAAACGTTGACTAAACCGGATGGGGTGTTTTGGGTAAGTTTGACCAAAAACGTTGACCAAACCGGATGGGGTGTTTTTGGGTGAGTTTGACCAAAAACGTTGACTAAACGGATGGGGTGTTTTTGGGTAAGTTTGACCAAAAACGTTGACTAAACCGGATGGGGTGTTTTTGGGTAAGTCTGACCAAAACGTTGACCAAACCGGATGGGGTGTTTTGGGTGAGTTTTTGAATCTTGATCACTTGGATCCTTTTTGCAGGTATCTGAGACCGTCTGCTGTGCTTCCAATCAACCTTCAACTTTCAATTACATCAGTATCAAGGTACCGCCTGTAATCCTTTCATTCTCTTGTCAATTTTCCGGCTGACTAGGTAGTTAAATGGACTCACCCAACACACACTTGGCCCAACCTAGAACTGATGTCAACCGGTCACCAAGTACGGCTGAGTCTAGGACTGGGGATGCCGCCTGGAGGTGTTTGGTCCATTCTTGTGATAGAAATCTGACCATCTCTGCTCTTGTGCAGGACAGAATGGCCCAAACAAGATGGACGGCGGTTGATCCGGATTACCAGTCTGAGGATTCAGCCGGACCTCCGGTTGAAGACGTCCCCTATGACCAACCGGGTGTACCCAGTACCCCAAGTGATAGGATATAGGAGATGTCTGAGTCTGGCGAGGAGGATACTGCTCAAAGATCCGCCTCTTCCTCTTTCGCCACAACATCCGGAGAGCCGGATGTTCAAGAGGTTGACAAAGAGGCCTTCAAATGGCCGTCTATGAATAATCCCTATGAAGCGTCAATGAGCGCCAGGGACATCGTCACCTTAACCGCCACTTTGCCGGCTTTCCTGGCAAAGAAACCAATAGGGCCCGGCTGGGATCTGGTTGTGCCGCCGGCTGAGGCAACAGTTATCTGGGATGACAACCGGGACCACGCAGACAACTATTTCGGCTGCTATGGGGCGGCCTTCAAAGCTGGTCTCCGGTTCCCCCTGCATCGAGCAATTAAAGCCATACTGAGGGGGAATGACTTAGGCGTTTGGCAACTTACACCCAACTCTTGGGTGAATATTTTAGGATATATTGCCGCCTGCGAGATGCAGGATGTAACGCCTAACTGGGAGGCGTTTGCACATATGCACTACATGAGCCGTGCCCCAGGCGGCTGGAATGCGTGGTATACCCTGACCACGCATCCGGAATACATGATGACCCTGGACAAGCCGTCCAAGTGGTCAAGTTGGAAGAGCAAATTTTATCTGGTGTCATCACCGTCTCTCCAATAGAACCGGAGGCTGCGCACCTATAATAAGCAGTCGTTGCTTCTTGGAAGGAAGTGCGCCCTCCCAAAGATACCGGGAGAGGCCTGGGATCAAATCATGGAGCCGGGGCTCTTCAAGAAAACAACCATGCCCCTTGGTGACGGGACCCATATCATCGTGCCCAAATTTTGGGTCCCTCATCCGGACTGGTTTGGAGACGAGGCGTTTCTCTCCGCCTGCGGTCTGAGTACGATGTTTACCAAACGTACGTCATAGACAACCGGCCTTTTCATCGCCTGTATTATCCTTTGACTGTTCTAACCTTTTTCTTTTGTTTTGCAGAACAAGGTAGAGAGATGGTTTCCCCGGATATGACACCGGCTAAACCAGCGGCTGAGCTCCGCATGGAAAAGCTCGACAAAAAGAGGGCTCAAGTTGCAGCCCGGAACGAAGGGGTAAGTACCGGATGCGTTCTCTCATTTTTTGCCGGTTGCATGAGTTGTAGCTCAGGCCCTTTACTCCGGATGCATATCAACTTGCTAATATTTGTAACTCTTTTCCTTTGCAGTCTGGGAGCAGGGGGGTTCCCAGGTCCCTCCGGCAGATGACCAAGAGGCCCGGCGAGGCTCTCCTTCAGCTGGCCTCTTCCCGCCAAAGAACCAACCCCATTCCTCCTCCTGCCTCTGGGGCCAGACCGCCTGCTCAACAGCAGCGATCTACTTCTGGAGGGAAAAGCCTTCGGGGCTTAACTCCTGGCTCCCAGACGGGAGGCAATGAAACTGAGGAGCCGGAGGCTCTTTCTGGCCGGGTGCTTGCTGTAGCATCCGGCTCAAATGCGGCTGGGGGTGTTTCAACCCCTCAGCCCCAATCTCAAGGTATGGCCTCGCCCTTTGAACACCCCTGGCCGCTTGGACCTGCCAGAGTCAAGTCCCAGGCTACTCAGTCGGGCGATTCTGCAGCCAGCCGGCAAAATATAGGCGGTGCTTATGCCCGTTACTTAACCGGTCAATCTGTTAATGCAGAAACTTCTCGTTGGCCTGACTTGCAAAATTATGCCAAGAGAATGGTCCGGAACCTCACCCGGTCTGAAAGGGAGGCAATCCCGGGTGTAGGGCAGGTCAACATTGACCAACTGCAATCTCTTGCGGCTGAGGTAAGTGCCAGCTGAGTTGCTTTCAAGTAAGTTTTCATTTAACCGGATACTAACTCTATTTTTTGCCGGCTGGGTTGCAGTTGATGTTACGGATTGATGGGCTCCAGGGCCCTCTCCGCCGCAAGCAAGAGGAGGTAAGGGATGCCCAACGAAGGGCAGCCGACTTAGTAGACGTCCATCAGTATAATTCTATTATGTATCAAGTTGAATCTAAAGCCCGGGAGATGAAACAGGAGGAACTTCTCCAAAATGTTACGGCTGCTGCTGAGGCTGCTAATAAGAAAGCAGCCGAGTTCGAGAAAAAGGCATCTAATGCCGAGCTGAAAATTAAGTCCCTTGAGGCAGACGTCCAGAAATTGACGGATGCTCAAAAGGGCTATGACGAGCTGAAGGAGGAGGCGGCCAAGGCCAAGAAAGAGCTTGCTGAAGCTCAAGAGGTCTTCAGGGGCAAGCTGGAGGCTGAGCAGACCCGCCTGATCGATGAGAATGAACGGGACTGTGAGGCCCGGATGAAGATGGCGTGGGGAATGCTCTACCCGGGACGAAGTACGCGTGCTTCGACTTGCGTTATAGATACGCGAGTGAAGTATACGACGCCCAAGTTCTCGGGTTGGACCAGCCGGCACCTTTTGACGAATGGGTGCGGCGGAGCTGGAGGAGGAAGAAGAAGAAGAAGTGCTGGCTAAGGGTGCTGAAACCCAAGGCCAGGCCATTGAAGCTCCCCCAGCCGGCGATAGCCAGCCGTCTGTTGACCAGCCTGAGCAACCTCAACCTTCGCAGCAGCAGCAGTAATTTTTTCTTTTTATCTTTTTGTTTCATCCCTGGCTTGTATGCCATGTAATATTTCAACTTTGTTTTTACCGGACCTTGATCCGGGTAACATTTATTGATATATATTAACCGGTACAACCGGTTTTCTCAAGTTATCTTTGCTTTCAATTCTTTCAATTTTTTGCAAAAATTTTACAACTGTTGGGTACGTCTGCCCCTGGACGGGTGCATGCTTCAAGTTGTTCCAACTTGGAGGAGGCAGCCGTCCATATTGATAACCGGCTGCATAAAAGCATTTGCCGGGTGCGAAGCCGTTTACATTGGTAATGCATAGATCCGCCTGTAGGGTCCTCAGATGAAAACCGGCTGCAGGGGCCTTTGGCTAGAACACCGCCTGTAGGGTCTTCAAAGGAAGACCGGCTACAGGGGCTGTTTGTAAATTACCGCCTGTAGGGTCTTTGAGTAAAAATCGGCTACAGGGCCTTTGGTAAACTACCGCCTGTAGGGTCTTTAAGTAAAGACCGGCTACAGGGGCTGAGCGTTAAACACCGCCTATAGGGTCTTCAAATGAGACGGCTAGGGTTTGTGCATAGTTATTGTTTATGGCTGTAGCGGATTACTACTTCGAGCCAAGCCGGATGTACTACGTCAAGACTTCTATTGAGTACAAGACCGGAGTACTATGAAAAGCGGATGTACACTTATACAACAGGATTACTATTATACAGGACGATGTACACTGAGTAAAGACCGGAAACTATACAAAGATTATATATACAAGAATTACTATCTAGTAAAGACGAATGACACTTGAGTAAAGACGATGTACACTTGAGTACAAGACGGATATATGAGTAAGAGGAGTATACGAGACAAAGATTAACTTATAAAAGAACATCAACAAGACCATGTAACTCTGAGTACAAACAATTATATATACAAGACGATGTACTACTTTGATACAGACTGGCTGTCTGTCCCTTTTCAACTTTATATTTTGTTTTTTTTATTCGCTGCCCTGTAAGGCTTCAAGATTTTAGACACCGCCTGTATCACCTTTGGGTAATAGGCGCCTGTATCTTGAATTCGAAGGATCATTCAACTGGCGCTGAGTTATGATCTCTTAGAACAATGTACCACCCGGATGGGAGATGCTCTCTTCGACGATTGAAGCCAAATTCAGATCGCCGGATGCCTGCCTTTTTGGACAGACGGTTTAAAGTGTTGAGGCATTTTATGCGCATGCCCCTGTAGGACTTTCTTTGAAAGCTGGCTACGTTGGGGCTCCAAGATTTAAAGCGTCGTCTGTATTACCTTTGGGTAATAGACGGCTGCATCTTGGATTTGGGGAATCATTCAACTGGGTGTTGAGTTATGATCCTAGAACAATGTACCACCCGGATGGGAGATGTTCTCTTTGACGACTGAAGCCAAATTCAGATCGCCGGATGTCTGTCTTTTTGGACAGACGGTTTAGTTTTATAAGTGCCCGGTTGCGTATTACGCATGGGTCTTTGAAGGATCTGGACGAGTATCCGGTTGTGCTTTGCACAATTACAAACAATTATATATACAAGTATTTAAACCAATAAATGCCGGCTGCGCATTGCACAGCTGCGACATGATACAAATTGAGAATAAAGTTTTTATTAATACTCTATTACAATTTATCAAAAGTAGTACTTTTTTAAGTTATCTACATTCCAAGTTCTGGGTAGCTGTCTACCGTCTGGAGTTTCCAGGCGGTAGGTGCCACCTCTGACTTCTTCAGTAATCCGGTAGGGCCCTTCCCAATTTGGGGTTAGTTTTCCTTGCTCATTTGCCCTACCGGTTGCCTCCATTTTTCCTCAAAACAAAGTCACCCACCTTTAGAGGCCGCTTGTGCACCCGTTTGTTGTGGGCTCTCGTCATTCTCAGACGGTATATCTCATGACGCAAGGCAGCATTGCCCCTACGCTCCGGGAGAGAGTCCAATGCTAGCCGCATGGCCTCCCAATTAGCCTCTTCGTCATAAAGCATGACTCGAAGTGTTGGCTCATACAATTCAATTGGCAGGACAGCTTCAGTGCTGTATGTCATGAGGAATGGAGTTTCACCGGTTGTCCCTTTCTCAGTTGTTTTGATGGCCCATAGAACATGTGGCAATTCATCTGCCCATAGACCACCAGCCTTTTCTATCTTCTTTTTTATGCCGTCTGAGATGAATTTGTTGAAGGCCTCAACTTGACCGTTTGCTTGAGGACGGCCTACGGATGCAAAGCAGTGGGCGATTCCTTGATCCCCTAGCCAACTCTTGAGTATCGAAGTTTCAAACTGAGGACCGTTGTCAAAGACCATGGACATAGGCACCCCAAACCGGGTGATAATGTTTCTCCATATGAAGGAGATGACGTCCTTTGTTTTTATGCCCTTGACCGCCTCTGCTTCCACCCATTTGGTGAAGTAGTCTACAGCCACTAAGATGTACCTACGCCCGCCTGAGGCTGGCGTGTATGGTCCTAAGATATCCATGCCCCACTTTGCAAATGGAACCAGGTTGTAGATAGCCGTCAGATCTGTTGCCGGACGGTGGATGAGCCGGCCAAATTTCTGGCACTTGTCACACCTCTTCACCAAATCCATGGCATCTGATTTCAAGAGTAGGCCAAAAGTATCCCTGCCGCCTGGCTTCTCTTGGCTAGGGACCTGCCGCCTATGTGCGATGCACAAAAGCCTGAGTGCAGATCTTCCAAGACCTCTTTTCCCTGTTCAGGGGTTACGCATTTTAAGAGCGGCTGGAGATATCCTTTCCTGAAGAGTTCCCCTTGGAACATTTCAAAGCTGGCTGCCCGTTTTTTTCAACAAGGTCGCCTCAGTAGGAGCATCCGGCAGGATGCCGTGTGCTAGAAAATTCCGGATGGGGTCCATCCAGGTAGAGCTTCGGTCTAGAACTCCAATGGGATCATGTTCAATACTTCTTTTTTCCATGACTTCCCAGAAGACTGACCTAGGCGTATCAGATGTGGCGGATGAGGCCAGTTTGGACAACGCATCCGCCTGGTTGTTTTCTGACCGGGGCACCTGACTCAGCTTGAATTCGTCAAGTGTCCCGGCTTCTTCTCTGACCGCCTGCAAATATTTGATCATTGCCGGATGGGTGGCTTCGAAGTCACCATTGAATTGGCTAACAATCAATTGAGAATCTGAGCAGGCGTCAATCTTTCTTGCCCCTGCTGCCTTACACATGCGGATACCGGCTAGCAGGGCTTCGTATTCTACCTCGTTATTCGAGGCTTGAAATTTGAACCGTAGTGCATATTCATAAGTATCCCCTTCCGGGGATTTGAAAATTACGCCTGCACCACAGCCGTTCATTGTAGAGCTCCCGTCTACATACACCTTCCAGACCTGATCTGTGCTATCCGGCTGGGGTGGCCTTGTCATTTCCACAATAAAATCGGCAAACGCCTGACCCTTCACTGCCTTTCTAGGCTCGAAGGTGATTTCTAAGCTTTGGATGGCGATTGCCCATTTCAGAAGCCTACCGGATGAGTCCAGCGTTGTCATTGGCCGCTTGAGGGGTTGGTCGGTATAGACCACCACAGGATGTGCCAAGAAGTATGGTTTTAACTTCTTGACAGCCATAAATAGAGCGAGGCCAAACTTTTCAACCGTGGGATACCGGAGCTCTGCATTCCGGAGGACATAACTTATGAAGTAGACCGGGAGCTGTGTGCCGTCTCGCTCAGCTAGGAGAACGGCACTGAGGGCATGATCCGAGGCGGCTAGGTACATGTACAACACTTCA